TGCCCATCAATGATAGACTGGACAAGGAAAATATAGCACATATACACTGTGGAATACTATGCAGCCATAAAAAATGATGAGTTCGTGTCCTTTGTAGGGATATGGATGAATCTAGAAACCATCATTCTCAGCAAACTGACACAAGAACAGAAAATCAAACACTGCATGTTCTCACTCATAGGTGGGTGTTGAACAGTGAGAACACATGGACACAGGAAGGGGAGCATCACACACTGGGGTCTGTTGTAGGGGACTAGGGGAGGGACAGCAGGGGGTAGGGAGTTGGGGAGGGATAATCTGTGGAGAAATGCCCTATATAGGTGGCGAGGGGATGGAGGCAGCAAACCACACTGCCATGTATATGCCTGTGCAACAATTCTGCATGTTCTGCACATGTACCCCAAAACCTAAAATGCAATAAAATATACATATTTTTTAGAAAAAAGAATGACACAATGGACTTTGGGGACTTGAGGGGAAGAGTGGGATGGGATGAGGGATAAAAGACTACAAATATGGTGCAGTGTTTACTGCTTGGGTGGTGGGTGCACCAAAATCTCACAAATCACCACGAAAGAACTTACTCATATAACCAAATACCTCCCATACCCCAATAACTTATGGAAAAATAAAATAAATAAATAAATAAATAAATAAATAAATTGCACAAATTCTTCGTAAGACGCAAATTACCAAAACTGACATAAGATTATTTTGTCTAAGCAGCTCTATATCTGTTCAAAAAATTGATTTTTTTATCTTAATTTTTTAATTTATACATATATGAACATAGTTTTAGGGCGTATGTCATAATTTAACATATTTATATAATTTATAAAGATCAAAAAAGTATACTTGGAATATCTATCACCTTAAATATTTGTCTTTATGCTGCAACCATTTGGATTTTTCTCTTTCAGCTATTTTGAAATACACAATAGATTATTGTAAAATATAGTCACTCTACTGATCTAACACTAAGTTTTATTTCTTCTGTAAAACTGCATATCTGTCCTCATTAATCAAACTTTCTTCCCCCTATTTTTCCCTGCCTCCAATAACCATTAATCTACTCTCTCTCTTCATGAGATCCACCTTTTTAGCTCCCATGTATTAGTGATATATGTGATACTTATCTTTCTGTGATGTCATATTTCATATAACATAATGATGTCCAGTTCCTTCTATGTCGCTGCAAATGACAGGATTTTATTCTTTCTATGGCCGAATAATATTTCATTGTGTATATTTACCATATATTCTTTATCCATTCATCCGTTAATAGACAATTATATTAATTTCATATTTTGGCTATTATGAATAGTGCTGCAATAAACATGAGAGTACAATTATCTCTTCAATGTATTGATTTCCTCTCTTTTGGCTATCTACCCAGCTGTGGAATTGCTGGATCAAAAGGTTGTTTGTCATTCTGGAAAGAGCAGGTGTGGGTTCTATGTAAAATTAAACCTTTCAATAAATTGAGTTAGACCAAAATAAGTATTGCATTTATGTGCACAATTTTATTATCTTACACTGACTCATCTGTCTCCAAATTGAAAGAGTTCACAAAAGTAGAGTGTTGGAAATGGAAAAATATATATTCCCCAAATATCACTTAAGTTCTTTCTGTTTATATGGACATTTATTAAAACGTCATGGTCATACTCAAGTGAGATAAACAGTAGTGTGTGTGTGTGTGTGTGTGTGTGTGGTGTGTGTGGTGTGTGTGTGAAAAAAACAAAAACATGCATCATGGGGCTAGATTCATTCTGTGTTTAATGAGAAACTGGACTAGCAGCAAATTACTTGAGGTCCAGTTCTCCCAGTTTTTTTGGCAATCTAATTGGAACCCACAGGTAAATGATGTCCTCTGAGCCTTGCAAGCTGTGAAAATTGGACTCCAAGTCTCTCTGGCATAGCATTTGGCATGTATTAACAAAGTTCTTATTGAACTGTGGTTAAGGAGATATTGCCTCTAGAGGATTTGGACACCAACCAAAATTTACCCATATGTGTCTGTGTATACACGCTCATGTTTTGGTAATATTTTAATAACTCCCATTGAAACTCCATCACCAACAGCGAAATCAGCCACTTGACTTCTACTCTGTTTTCCAATAACATTCTTTCCATTTCATAAATTAAGCATGAGCCTCAGAGATTTTAACATAAGTCAAGGACACAATGGAAGAACTTTTAAAGATATGATTCCTTGAGTCTGACTTTTCTCTCCAAGAGTGGAGCAAAGACACTAAGATATTTAGCACTGCAAAGGGCTTAACCTTTAGACAAGATTTTCGGGAATTAATGTCAGTAGTCTTCTGTTATGCACTGTAACTAATAGCATCCAATATGTAGTTGGAGTTTTAGGATCAAAGGAACTAGGTAAAGACAAACTTCTAGCTAAGGTTAAGGTTATGCATAGTAAAATTGAGATGTTGTTATTGATTATGTATGACTAATTTTACTTTGAATATTTTCCAGGTATATCAAATGCTTCAGAGTAAAAATAATCATCTCAGTGACAGAAACAACAAAGGTGGGTGTTAAATATTGGAAAAATTGATATTGTGTTCAGAGAGACACCAGAAATGTGATCCATTTGGTGTGAGAGGAGGCACCATGCGTTTGCTTGTGACCCTCAGTTGCTTACATATGAGGCCACCTCAACCTAAGGTCAACGCAAAAAGGGCTTCCAGAGCCATTTTCTGCCAAATGCTTACTTTCAGAAAGACTTTTTCAAATGTTTTTGCAATACAAAGTTTCGACCTATAATGACTAAACTTGGGGAAAAAATAAAATATTATATCTTCCATCCTGTTTCCATACCTTCCATTTCATACATCCTTTCTTCACCCAACAAAGATTCATGCTATATTCCATATGAAAGACCAGATTAACACTAGTGCAAAAAATAAAAATTAAAAAAAACACTAGTGTAGACTTATCTAATGGGTGGTGGTGAGAATTAAATAAAGTTTTTATACCACTGCACATGTACAAAACCTCAAATAACGGATTTTGTTTCTGCCGAAAATGATCATATCTCCTACCATATGTGCTATGTCACCCAAATCTTCTCTTACAATACATCTCACTTTTTATCATATATCATGTTCACTTATTTGCATAAATCTTCCATTTCTGTTGGTCTGTAAACACTTTAGAAATGTGGCCCAACTTATCCGTATACACTTGAAGATTGCAATAAATGCCCACTGGCTATGTATAAGGTGGCACAAGTAATAATAATTATAAATTTTCTTTCAAATGATTGATGAGAGCTGATAAACATAGGCATTATTCTAACGATGACAATGACTCTCATTGCTGTGTGACCCCCTCCACCCACTAAGCTTTGATCCAAAGAGGGATAGAGCAGAAGAAAGTGTGATGACACAGTATCGGTGGCCTCCCAGAAGGGTGTCACTGTCTTTTTCTCACCCCAACACTCAAGCAGGATCCCTAACCTTCCATCACCATTTTCCAGAACACCCCACTGCATGTAATACTAGAAATTCATCGATCAGAGTTGAGAGTAAAGAAGTCAAAGGGCATTGTCCCCACCCGCCATGGATGAACATTTCAGGCTTTCCTATTCTGATTAGGAGAAAAGGAGATCCGTAGGCTTAGACCATTTATTCACTAACCAAAAAATACCTAGGCACCATTGAGTGTAATAACAAATCTTTTATTAATGAAGTTTCTATTACTAATAAAAATCTCCTTCCATTCCACATTTCCTCCTTCTGTGCCAACTACACTGAATTTTCCAGTGTTCTCTATATAAGCATGTCATCTTCACCACTGACTGACGTTTTATAGGCTGTTTCCTTTGCATGATACATCCTGCTTCTGTTTCCTGGAAATTCATCTAAATTGAGGGAAAAGTTTCCCCTCCTTTAGGAAGCCTTCCTGCACTAGTCTCAGCTGGAGCGCTGTGTGTTTCCACAGCACTATATTGGTACCAGCATCATCTCGCATGTGTGATTATGCACTTACATGTTTATATTTTCCATCAGAGTGGATATTGCTCCAGAGTAAGACCTTTGCTGTGCCCATGTGTATATTGCTAGTACTAGCAAAATCCTAGCCACACTCTAGGGATTACAAAATGTGTGCCAAAAGACTGAAGGATTCACTGGCTAAACAAAAGACTTCTCACTGGCCTAATAAATGGAGGGTCAGGAATGTAATCAAATCCAACATTAAAAAGTCAGGTTCCATGTTAATAACATCAATTTCTGCAGCACAGTCTTATTGAAAGTACTGCAGAGATGTGGAACACTGGGCGGAACCTATACTGATCCAAACTTACCTGAAAATTTTATAATTTTAAGTGAGCAGTGCATCAGAGACTGTTTTTCTGCTGCCTTTACACTAAAGTAAATAGGAAGAAATAACTGATCAACTGAATGCTTAAACAATGATCCTACGTTATAATACATGCAATGTTGTAAGCTTTGCAGGTAAACAGAATCACATCTGAAGTCCAGTTCCACCCCTTTCCACTGCTTTGAGTTTGAGAAAATGAGCCCACCTTTCTGAAAATCATTTCTTTATCTGTACGGGGAAATTTTTTAAGAAACCTTCTTTATAGGAATACATGAGAGAATAATTCACAAGACGGCTTATCTCTTGAGGTATGGGGATTGCAGGGACATCAAGGCTCTCTGGCTGGTTTTCTCCCACCCATATGCAGTTGGATCTACTGTTGGTGAAGACAGGAAAGGGGGAGGAAAAACAGGACAGGAGGTCAGACCTTTCAACAGAGCCTGAAATTTGGCATCAACATTCAGATCCCAGGGTCCATACCCTCACTCAGTCTGCTTTTTTGTTTTGTAAGACAGGGTCTCACTCTGTCACCCAGGCTGGAGTACGAGGTGCAATCACAGCTCACTGCAGCCTGGACTTCTGGGGCTCAAGTGATCCTCCCACTTCAGCTTCCTAAGTAGCTGGGACCACAGGTGTGTGCCACCAGGCATGGCTAATTTTTTTATTTTTTGTAGTGATAGGGTCTCCCTATGTTGCCTCACTCAATCTTGTATTCTCTCAAGTGAATCTTTCCCTTGAATCAGATTCCTGCCTCTCTGCTGACTCAAACCGATATTACGTATGCAGGATCTATCTAACACAAGGCAGGACTGAGGATTCAGAACCACAGTATTCATTTAGTTGATGGCAGAATCAAAACCAGATAGAACCAATGCTCCAGTCTTCTCAACCCAGAGTTCTCTTCACTACATCCCACTTCCTCTCTCAGCAAGGAAATTCTTCCTTTGGGGGGAAAAAAATCTTTCTGATTTTTCTGATTTTCAAAACTTCTGTTGGTTTCTATCAAAATGTATTCCTGTGCAGGGCAAAAAAATAACTGATAATAGTGACCATAAACCAGGAGCAGCCACAACATAAACAAAAACCTGGATGATGGTACTTTCACTTCTATCTTTTGGTAAAGCCAGAAATTTTTGACCTCCAAAGCAGTATAAGTGACAAGAAGAGATGAAAAGATGTCCTTAAAGCAGAATACAGAGAAGAAAGATTTATTACATTGGGAGTTTTGTACCAAAAACATCAAATTAAACTTGGGTAATTGATTTTTTTAATGCACTATGTCACTACTTAACATATTTTCTTTCCCAAAATGGTTCTATAGGAGAAGACTTGTTGAATGACTTTACATATCATGTGATTTTACCACCAAACTAACTGTAATTTGAAAAACGTGAACAATGCAACAAATTGCGAAAGCTACAACCACATGGGAAGTTACTGCACTGCATTGTAGATGCTTAGGAAGACAACAAAATAAATATCTCAGTGTTTTCATATGACATGGCTTAAAAGAAAAGAGAAAAAGAGAGGATGATTCAATGGAGATAAAAAACTGCACCAGAGTAAAAGAATTTATTTTCTTTGGCCTGACCCAGAATCAGGAAGCAAGCTTGGTCCTATTTCTTTTCCTACTCTTGGTGTACGTGATGACTCTGCTGGGAAACCTCCTCATCATGGTCACAGTCACTTCTGAATCTCGCCTTCACACACCCATGTATTTTTTGCTCCGTAATTTATCTATTGCCGATATCTGCTTCTCCTCCATCACAGCACCCAAACTTCTGGTGGACCTTCTATCTGAGACAAAGACCATCTCCTTCAATGGTTGCTTCACTCAGAGGTTTCTCTTCCATCTTATTGGAGGGGTAGATGTATTTTCTCTGTCAGTGATGGCATTGGATCGATATGTGGCCATCTCCAAGCCCCTGCACTATGTGACCATCATGAGTAGAGACCGTTGCATTGGGCTAACAGTGGCTGCCTGGGTGGGGGGCTTTGTCCACTCCATCGTGCAGATTTCCCTGTTGCTCCCTCTCCCTTTCTGTGGACCCAGTGTTCTTGACACTTTCTATTGCGATGTCCTTCAGGTCCTCAAACTCGCCCTTACAGACGTTTTCATACTTGAACTACTAGTGATTTCCAACAATGGACTGCTCACCACACTGTGGTTTTTCCTGCTCTTGGTGTCCTACATGGTCATATTATCATTACTTAAGTCTCAAGCAGGGGAGGGCAGGAGGAAAGCCATCTCCACCTGCATTTCCCACATCACTGTGGTGACCCTGCATTTCATGCCCTGCATCTATGTCTATGCCCGGCCCTTCACTGCCCTCCCCACAGATAAGGCCATTTCTGTCACCTTCACTATTATCTCCCCTCTGCTCAATCCCTTGATCTACACTCTGAGGAACCATGAAATGAAATCAGCCATGAGGAGACTGAAGGGAAGATTCGTGCCTTCTAATAGAAAATAAAAAAAAATCCTCAGCTCTTCATCACCAAGGTTATCTTATCTTATTTTTCTCATAAAGTCATATTCATATGTTTAAACATATTGTCAATAAATCAACTACACTTAGTAATAATTAATTTTACTATTTATCTTAGTAAGTAACTGATAAGCTTCTGGTCAGGAAGAGAGTCACACCCTCTAATTGAAAATAAACCAGAGCTCCCTCCTCTTCACCACCAAGATTTTGTTTTGTGATTTTTCTTCCATGGACTCCAAGTTCTGAAAATGTTGCCTACTGAGTTGAATATGTTTATTTAGTGATTGCTAAGTATTTGTTTTATTTCCATAACACATAAAATTATGCATATACCTAGCAAATGCATATTATATATGGTAAAACTTCTTATCTGCATTTAGTTGACATAAATATTAATAATTTAAACAGAGCTTTTATGATTCACAAAAAAGAGGGAAAATTGTTACCAAATGTATGTATGATTTTGTAGTCCAATTCTTGAAGAAAAATTAAGCCAAGTGCATACAGACATTATAATTACCTTTCTGCTCCTATTACAGTAAAGGAAGATGTGGGGTGTATCTGAAACACAGCACAGTTTGGAGACTGACTCTCTGTATAATTTTCATAAGGTATATCCTAAATTATCATTATGATGGGCAAGGTACCTTTCTCTTCCTTGAACCCCAAGCTCACTGGCCACCCTACTGCCTTTCCTTGGCACTCTGTGCTTAGGGTTAGCATTGCACTCAAAACTCTATTTTGAGATTTCTTATGTTCTTGTCTCTTTCTCTCACTGGGCAGTGACATCCCCAGGAATAGGGATTATGTTTTATTTGCTGTCACAGCAGCTGAAACATACTAAGACTTCAACAATATGTTGCTGAATAAATAGCTCAATGATTGAATATTGTCACTTACTTGATTTCTACAAATGACAAAAACACACAAAGTTACTTTAAGCTATGCACATACATGCATAAAGCTTGGAAGAAAGTGAAAAATGGTTATTTTACACAATTCTGCAATTATGTTTTTAGCTGTTCACTTAATATTTTTATAGGTATCAGGAGTTCATATTGAAACTGGAATTCCTTCTGTATCTGATATCAATCTTGTTCCACAACCTAGGCATGCAAGAAACACAACATTTTAAAATTTTCTATAACTTTATTTCTGTTTCAAGCTTCCATTCAATTGTGGTGGCTGGAAATTTAATCTTTCATTATGAAGTTCCCTTAATGGTTTCTAAGTTTCAGAGAGAGTAGAAAATAGGGATAAAAGGTGATACATCATTACGTAATGGTAGAGTCTTTCCTGAACCAATAGTGGCAGCGTTTATGAACTAAATACAATTGTCTCTGCCTCTCATGTTCACAAGCAAAAAGAATCTGCTAAGATATTTCTCCAAGATTAAAAAAAAATGTGATTATCTCAGTAAATATAGAAAAGCATTTGATAATATTCAAGACCAATTTATGGCCAAAACTCACAAATAAATAAAGAAAATAAGCATTCTTTCCTAACCTAATAAAAAGTCAATATAAATATTATAACAAATTATATGTTATGGTGAAATGGAAGCAATCCGTTTAAGTGCTACCTTATATACCCGCTCCAATCAATGTCCTACTTTCCACAAGAGAGACACAGAAAAACTATGAACTCAGTTCCTGATGTAATTCAGGACATCACACAATTATGTATTTGACTTCTATGAGGCCAGCCCTATGGCAATAAGAAATACATAAGTAGCTGAAGACTTGCATAAAAACTCTATGGGGCTAGGCATGGTGGCTCACACCTATAATTGCAGCAGTTTGGGAGGACAAGGCAGGTGGATCACTTGAGGTCAAGCATTCGAGACCAGCCTGGACAACATGGTAAAACCTTGGCCCTGCTAAAAATACAAAAATTTGCCAGGTCATGGTGGCACATACCTGTAATCCCAGCTACTCAGGAGGCTGAGGCACAAGAATCACTTGAGCCCAGGAGGCAGAAGCTGCAGTGAGCAGAGATTGCGCCACTGCACTCCAGCCTTGGTGACAAAGTGAGACTCTTAAAGATAAAAATATGTAAATGAATAAAATAAATTTAAAAAGCTCTCTGGTTCTCAGACTTCGCCCGTAGCTGAGCATATAAACCACTTGTCATTTCTTTACTGTAACTTACTTAATGTAGTTAGGAGTAGCTGCCCTTCTTCCACAGTCCTTGTAGTGCTCACAAAGTCAAGTACAGGAGTCACCTCATGATCCAAGGCACTTGCTTCACTAAGAAAATTGTCAATTTCAATAACGTGTGACAATTTGGTTATAATGCCTTTGTATGCCATAGAGTGCCAGAATCTTATTTCCCATAGATAGAGAATTGAGCTTAATGTTCACCACCGAGGACATTCCAAGTAATCTCAGAATCTCATCTTTGAGGGTCTGCTTTTTGCTATCATTTCTGTTAGCAAATATTTTACCAATCAGGGTCAAGTAAAGACAACAGAAACCACATCAATTGTTTATCAAAAGATTGTTTATCACAAAAAATTTTAAATATAAAACTTCAATGTGAGGCCAAAAAAAAAATAATGGGAAAGTAAATATAGTGTTTTAGGTTCACATTCAACATGAAGTGATGTCATATGAAGGCCATCTGATGTGAGTTAAAGATGCATATTGTAAGTCCTAGAGTAATCACTAAAGAATAAAACTGCAAGGTACAGATAATAAGCCAATAAACAAAATAAAATAAAACACTAAAAATATTGAATTATTCCAAAAGAAGGCAGACAAATAAGAAAAGGAAGCAAAGAATAGATGAGGAAAAAAATTTTTAATAAAAGCAAAATGAGCCAGATGTGGTGGCTCACACCTGTAATCCCAACACTTTGGGAGGCCAAGGTGAGTGGATCACTAAAACTCAGGAGTTTGAGACCAGCCTGGCCAACATAGTGAAATGCTGTCTCCACTGAAAATACAAAAATTAGCAGGGCACGGTGGCGTGCATCTATAATCTCAGATACTTGGAAGCTGAAGCAGGAGAATTGCTTGAACCTGGGAGGTGGAGGTTGCAGTGAGCTGCAATTGTACCACTGGACTCCAGCCTGGGTGAAAAGTGAGATTCCACCTCAAAAAAAAAAGAAAAAAAATCAAAATGGTATAGCTGCAAGCACAACTATATTCAAAACTACAGTAAAGATTTCAAGCAACCAAGGGGAGAAGGTAAACGCGAACCATATGATAATGGATTCATGTTGGAGACGTCAGTTTAAAAGCTGCAGTAGCTCACATCTGTAATCCCAGCACGTTGGGAAGGAAGGTGGAAGGACTACTTGGGCCCAGGAGTTCAAGACCAGCCTGGACAACATGTAAGACACTGTCTTTACAGAACAGTTTTTAAATATTAGCAAGGGGTAGCAGCACACACCAGTGGTCCCAGCCCAGGGGGTCAAGGCTACAAAGAGCTGTGTTCCTGCCACTGCACTCCAGCCTGGGTGACAGAGCAAGACCTGGTCTCAAAACTAAAACAAAAACAAAATGAAATAATATTTAGTTTAATATAAGGACAGATATATGATGACAGATATATTAGTATTTATAGATATGTATATATGTATCTATGTGAGATGTGGTTCTCACCACCCACAGAAGTCTGACCTGCAGACCCTGACTCAACTATGGATGAATGAATGCACTCTCACACCATTACAGTGTTTCAAGTGGGCTAGGGATGGTCGTTGGCTGCTTTCAGAGGACAAAACGCAGCCAATCAACCCAGACCCTCTGTTTCTCCACACTTTTATTCACAACAGAGGTTTTAAGTTACCTTACCTTCCTGTTACCTTTTGATGTAACCTGTTAAACATTGGCCTTGTTGATATTCCAAAAACATATGCCCCTCGCCTTAATATCCTTTTTTCTAGTAGATAATATTTTTTTACTGTTTTACTTTTTTTTTTTTTTTTTTTTTTTTTTTTTTTTTTTTTTTT